GTATTTAGGAATACCTTGAAGAAGTAAACTGTTTTTCCATTTTTATTATTAGTACATGTTTATGGTACATAATGTTTGCATTCTTTGTGGGGAATTGGTATTCTACATAATACATCTTAATTCCTTTTCATCTTCTTTTCTTTTCCTCCCTCTCCATTTCATCCACCTTTTGATCCCCTACCTCTTTCTTCTTGGTAAATGTTTGCCAAAAAAAAAAAAAGTAAATAGTTCTGAATTTACAATTTAATGTTTTATGTTTTAATTAAAATTTTCTATTTAAAAACTGCACGATTATAATAATCCTGAAGATGGCGCAAGATAGTGCGGTGATCTAGCAGATCTTTCAAGATTGCCTGCTGATTCGTCCTTGTAAAATTCATTCTTATGATATACTTCCAACCTCGCTTTTCAAAATAAGCTATTACAGTAATGAGCTTTCTAAATTAGAACGTGTAGCGCCAGAGATGTCTTTTTTAATTTCTAGGTCTACAGTGGGTCTATATTAATTTCTTAGTTGTGAGACCTATTATAGTAGAGTTCCTCTAACTAGCTTGCAAATAAAATGGGTGCAGTCGTCCACCGCTCACAGAAACCGGAAGCAAGGCAATGCTGAATGACTCGCCCAGATACTCCTAGTCAGAGCAGAACGGAAACGTTCCCATTCGCCAGCATTTACTTCGTTCCAACGTCTTCTGTGCAACTAGCAATCATGAAAGTGAAGTCGTGGGCTGGTAATCATTTCTTTGTGCACCAAATGCTCTTGTACCAATGTTCGTGTTTGCAATTTATGCCTTTGTTTAAAGATTCACATTTGGCTTGTATAATTGAGAGTTTTACAATCTGTTCTTGTCCATCTTGACTTCAAGAGTAGTTTGGAAACCACTAGAGAAAAATAAATAAGTAGGCTTGTTTACCCACACTGAGGTACACATTTTAGGTTATAATTGTCTTATGAAGTCTAATCAGTGGCCACACAGTTGATTATGTAAAGGGAGAATTTTATCTAACACTGGGTTTAATTGAAAGGGAGACATTTGTTTTACTCAGCAATAGAACATCCAGTATTCCTTAGAACTACAATTTTATTCATTTAACTTGCAGGCAATAGTCTGATATGGTTAAAACCTTCTAAAGCCAGCAAAGCAGAATGTAAGTACTCAACCATAAGAGTCAAGAGGAACAATTTGACTTAACTCGCTGTGCCCACATCTGATGACGCAACAATTTTCTAGAGGTGTTCATGAGGCTAGGAGGGCAGAATAAACCCTTTTTCTAATATAAATACAGGCAATAATGCCATGTGAATGTAATAATGGAAATCAGATTGTTCCTAGATAATTAGTACCAAATGGTGGAAAACCCAACCTCTAATCTATTGCCAAACCACTAGAACTCAGCAGAAAGCAAACAGCACAACCAAGCAATGGAAATTTCTCAGTGTATTTAAATGGTCATTTAAAATAAGGACCCAGTTTCTAAAACCAGTAAAAAGATTTCCACCATCTCTGTGTAACTCAGGGATATGTATGATGGGCACTACCAAAGGCTATTTCATTTGCCAGAGAAGGAGCTCATGACCCATGCCAGTGGTGGGCAGCATGCAGAGGATGTCAGTGTTCTGCACTGGGCTGCAGGGCCGAGAAGAGGCATCTGTCCCAAGGGCTCCACTTGGCAGAAACACAACGAAGGCGCACCGAGAATCCAGCGCCAGATCAATTACATACAGGAAACCTACTTCTACTGTAACTGCAATGTGCATAATGGGACACATAACTTATTTCAATATTTATTTAATTAATACGTAGATGCTTTAAGCACACTGGTGAGAACTGTAGCAGTTTGGATGTATTCTATTCTTCAGTCCTCTGAGACCAAAGCAAACAAACAAAACCTGCAAAGTCTCATTTTCAGTTATAAGCACGATAGGTGCTTACTTTGTTAACCACAATGGCACTCTATGAAGTACTTCATGTTCTGGCTTTGTGTCCTGTAAAACTAATGTTCAAATCTCATGAAAATGAGCAGATGCAGAACATTTCTAGGTTAATGGAACATTGCTTCTCTGCATATACTACAGGGCAAGCTATTAACCGAGAGATACATCTTACATTTATACTTTACACTTCCCATTGTTTTAAAAATTCAATTTCAGTAGTTTGAATTGTTAACAAAGCTTAAAAAGTGAGTATTTTTAAGCATGGCAACATTTCATGCTAAATTATTTCAGGGAAGTTGAATTTATTTTTTTAAAATTTTCTATTAGAATTCTGGAAGCTTAATAGTTATAAAATAAATGTATCTGCACTTGGTATTATATTAGTTTATTTCATAGCTACATAAATAAAATTGAAAATGAAAGGTAAAATATTTAATAATATCTTCAAAGCCTAGCAGCATGTTAACAAATGCCTGCAACCATATTTTCAAACCATCTGAATGGATCAGGTATGTCATGAATTCCATTTTAAATATTAACTCTTGATTTTACATTTAAATTTTAGCAATTCATTTTCTTTTAATAATTGAATAATTTCTATATCATTTTTTTCACATACATATCATTTGTAGTAAGAGCATTTGAAATGCTTTTGCAGTTTTCAAGTGCATAGTACATTGTTATTAACTACATCATATTGTACATTAGATATTCTGAACTCATTTCTCCCCTCTAGAACAAAGTTTCTGCCCTTTGCCCAAAATCTCGTCTTACTGAATGCTTCCTTTCACTCCACGACAGTCCCTGATAATCGCCAGTCCATCTTCTCCAAATGTGAGTTCCACATTTTTAGATCTAGCGAATGAGTGAGATCATGCAGTATTTTGTCTTTCTGTGCCTGGCTTATTTCCTTTCATGTAATGCTTTCTATGTTCTCTTTTAAAGGACTTGTGTAGCAAAACTTTTACAAATCATATGATAAGACTTTTGAAGTGGAAAATTTGTGTAACAAATATTTTTCAAAGTTAAAATAAAAATGTAAAGATATTACTAAGACAACGTGGATTGCAAAATTGTAATTTGAATTATGTGCATAACAATCAAATATTTACTATGTATGTGTAAAAAGTGATTTACAGAAAGTGTCTTCTTTTTTAAGTCAATCTTTTAATTGTAGTGATTGAAGAATTTTATTCAGACAGATACAGACTAAGATGAACACAATGCCTAACGTAAGTTACTAAATGCCCTAACATCACAAGAGCTAATCAATCCATTATAATCACTGGCTATTGTAATAATTTCATTGCTTTGTTTATAACTGACTACCAAGGGGAAGTTCTGTGCTTCATTTGCATACCAACTTTCATGCTTCCTACATAAAATAGCACAGAAACTAAATTAAGGACACTTCGTCATTCTGCTTGTCCTTTACCATTTCTGAAGCTGACATGGCAATCAGAGGTGACCATCAATACAGTCCTTATCACCAACCTTCTTCTCAGTTACCCCACTGCTAGGGCAGTGGATGGCTTTGAGGGGACAGGAAAAACAGGAGAGCGAGAATTTTATCAACGTGTTCTAACCTTTTTTGCTCCTTCCAAATCCTGCCCTTCAACATGGGAAGAGAATACGCAAAGAACAAATTTTTCCTTTGCACCCTAAATGGTAATGCACCTACTGTATTCCTTGTCAACATAAAGGCTGAACCAAGCACATGTGATGAATTGGATGAACAACTACCTTCTCCTTCATTTATTTCCTCCTTTTTTTATCTGTTACTCTCAGGTTGTTTCACGGAATAGCTTATAATGAGATTTTCAACAAGACTTAACAGGATATGTTTTCTACTAAGGGGCCAAAAGTTCAAAAAGGAGTTTCAGCTGATATGTTTCCCTGAGGGAAGCAAGAAAAAATCTTGTTGAGCAGCAAATAGTGATGAGGAAAACTAACAAGGAATGTATTGATAAAGACAAACCCTGAAGAGGACACGCCAGCCTCTCACTGTACCTATCAGGGGCACATGAGCACCTGGACTGCCAATATTTCTTCTCAGCTCTATCAGTGCCACTGTTAAATATGCTACAGAGCAATGGAAAGACCACCTCTTTCAGAATGGAAAGCAGAAAAGCAGGCTTTCAGAACACAGAAAAAACTTTGACCTATTTCCAAGGTATGCCAAGTTTGAAGTCCTAAATCCAACTTACAGAAGCATTCTGCTTCATGGTGAAGAACTGATGAACTGTTTTATATATATATATATATATATATATATGTATTTATATATAAATTCTTTGAAAACTTTAGAAAGCCAAAACTGTGCTTCAGTTACATATTAAGTATTTTAAATGCAAATTAAGTGTACACGTTAATGAAGACTATCAGTAGTACAGATGAATCAAATAGAAAAAAACATCTTGTGAAAAATAGAATTTGCTTAGAAAAAATACTGTTTTAAATTCTACCTCCCTCCAAAAAATTCCTTTTGCCAAAGTCTCATAATACTGATGTCATATATGATACTGGGAAAAAAAGGATTTCTAAACTGTGGCAAGCCAGAAATAAATAATTTAACTATAAAAATGTGTGTTGCCTATAGAGACCACCATTCACTTTAATGTCTAAAATAAATTAGCTCACTCCCAGTGGGAACCCTTGCTATGTAATATAAGGAACCATATTCAATCTAGTTAGCAGTCCATTTACTACAATGAAGTTTAGCACTCAGGGGTGGACAGGCATGAGTCTCAATCTAACCTCAGTAAACAATAATCAATAGGGATAAAGGAAAGAATATGTCTCAAAGAGAAAAGTATATTAAACCTTAAGTTCAATGGAGGTTGAAATACAAGGAGAAAGAGTAACAAGGGAAAACAATTTTCATCTGCACTACCTAGGTAATTTTAATTTTAAATTAATCTTGCTTACTAGGCATCATCTCTATCCATGTTGAGTTTTAAATTATTGTTCAGAAAATGTTATTTCTGAACTTGCAATGCAGAGACATTTTATATCCACAACATCTTGTTTCTAAGGAAAACAAACAGATATTCAATAAACTTACTGGAGATGTTGATACTTGAGTAATTCTTAACTGGTTTTCCAAATCTTGTACTTTATTTTTAAGTTCCATATTTTCTGTTTCTAGGTCTTGGATCTAAAAAGCAAATGATCAACGTATAATTTTCAGAATTTTTTTCTTGGAAGACACTGGCTATAATACTGACTTCAGTCATGAACAGCATTTGATGCTATTTAAATTTTTGTACTCTTGTACACAGGGCAGAAAATTATTTGACACAACTTGGGAAATACTGGAGGATTCCAGATCACTGGAAAGACACGGTAAGCATAAAATATATTTTTATGTGTGTGCAAGTTTGATGTTCCTAATGTGTCCTCTGTGTGTTTTCTTGCTGCACTGTGGAAGCTGTACCCATAATCTCGGAGCATAACCACAAGACAGTCAAACTTGCCTGTGACGATTTGGAAGAGTGGAGAAAGGGTGTAATTTAATTACAAAGAAATCTGATCTGCATGGGAAACCACTTACCCAGAATCTGCTGCTTCTGCTGCTCTGATCCCCATGAGAAGCATCGGGAAGTGAAGCAAAGTCACATGAGAACACTAAGTTCTTGTGGGAATTCAATATAAAATAGTTAAAAACTGTGCAGGGGATCAGGAATGAAAAATTATAGGAACACAGTGAAGGCAGTTCCAGTCAGTGTGGGGAAAATTTAATAGCAGGCTTCCTAGATTTGTCTGATGATACGCAAAGCTCCCTGCACTTACACGATACAAACGTGAAACAAGAAGCTTAGTTTACTCACTCTTTTTTGTAGCCCTGCAATCTGCTTTCTTGTTTCAACATCTTTCCCTCCAGATTCTAGAAATTTCCTGTATGCCAGGTCAAATGCTTGGCCAATGGTTAAAGTTATCTCTTCAGCCTTTGTAAAAATCAAACAGAGAAGATTTGCATTTTAACAATAATGTCAAGGTGCCCTTTGAATCGAGAAGAAACTTCACATGAAATACTCCAAGACATTCAGCAGAGGTATATCACAAGGGCCATCACAAGGGTTAGAAATCACAGTGAAGGACCAAAGTAGTCTATGCTGACACAGTAATTCAATGCCATAAAAAGAAGAAAAGAAAAAAGAAGTCATTAATGAAGAGCTATTATAGGAGAGGCGAGAGTTCTTCAGGCCAACTTATCCTGTTTCAGTGATAGCTTTTTTCCTAGGTGTTTTCCACTATTTCAAATACTTAGTGCCTATTAAAGGAAAGCTCAGTGCCAAGGGCAGTTTCTCTTGTCACCTTGCTATTTGTTTTCTTTTCCTAGTGAAAACCCTGGGCAGGTAACCTGAATGAGGCCTACAGGCGGTATCTGGAAAACTTGAGGGACAGAGCAACCACTACTCTCTTCCAGTTAATTGTTGCCTGGTGGAAATGAATATTCCAACCCCACTGGTCAGATCTGAAATATGTGCGATGAGGTCAGGAATCTGAACTTTTATATAAAAACTCCCAATTTTAAGGGATGGTAGACAGTTCCTATTTTTGTCAAATGGTGTGTATTGAACAAAATACATTTGCCATTTGAATTTGGTCTGGGAAACAATTTGCACTCTCTGATCTATTAGAAACTGCCAAATCCACCAGCTTGTTCCTGCTCACCATCTCTGCTGACTCCCTGCACGCTGCAGTAAGTACACAATAACAACAGGTCTACTCATGTCATTAGTATTATAAAGGCTAGTAAAGACGTGAACTGATTCAATGTATGACAAACATTTCATATTTAATAATTTCACTTTTCATAAAAATTCGGATGGCAGAAATACTAGTAGTAAAGTTACATATTGAAAATACCATGCTTTAGCTGATTTGCCGAAATTCTAAAGCATTTTTCTCCCTCCTCTTTACTTTTCAAATACCTTTCTTTTTATTATGAAAGTAACACACACGGTAAAGAATTCAGAAAATGAGTAAAAGCGAGTACCACTCATGATTCTATATAAAACCATCAAGTTTGGTAAAATTCTGATATACAAACATTCAGAAAGGATACACATATATATAAATCTAAATCTAGCTAAGTCAAATGCATGTACATAAAGCATACATGCCAATGTAATTAGACATTATATGATTCTATACATTATAACTCATAAAAATATGAAACAGTCAATAAGTAGCTCATAAATACTAAAAATTGGATCATAGAGTCCATAATACTTTCAAACATCCCATATTAGCTGGATGTGGTGGTGTCCACCTGTAATCCCCACACTTGGAAGGCTGAGGCAGGAGGAACACTGAATTCAAGGCCAGCCTGGGCTACATAGTGAGTTCCAGGCCAGGCTGAACCATATAGTGAGACCCTGTCTCAAAATAAATAAATAAATAACCAATCTGTATATGTTATAGATCTTTCCATGTCAGTTGGGTTTGTATACATATCATTTTATTACACTTAATATTCTCATATATACACTATACATTTTTTTTTACCAAACACCTATGGATAGATACTAGATTATTTACTGTTTTGTGGGGTTTTTTTTATAATTTTTAACTTTTTTATTAGGACTATCTGCACACAATTATCTTCATATGGAAGAAATCATTTTAGACATGAAATCACTGTGTGAAAAGCAAGCAGATTTTTAAAGATTTTAATATTTACTGCCCAAATCTTCAGAAATATACCGCTATCCTTCCACTGCATGTCACCCACACTGTCATACCCTACTTTGTCACCTGCACTGAGTTTTACCACGGTTATTTTGGCCAATCTAATGGGTGAAAAAATATCTGGTTCTCATTTCAATTTTTTTATTCTTTTGAATGCTTCTCAGAATAAATACATTTTGATATGTAAATCAGTCATTCTTATTTCTCTTTTTGCTGAAGACAAAGGTATTGTTCTCTTTCTTTGGCTTATTTCAATTTTCCCTGTCCTTTAATGATAGCAAAAGGGACTCCATATCCGTAAAGACTTTCCAGAGCTCCTCAGCTATAAGTCATTCCTGTTTCTAACTTCTCGGAGGTCCTTTTTATAAAACTACCCTGTAGCTTTAACCACATTTTCCCTAGTTCTAGTTGTCTGCATTCTCATCTTTCTTTCCCTTCCTGCAAAACCTTTAGTTTCTCATCTAGAAATATTGAAGAGGATAAACCAGTTAGAAGATGACATGCCATTCAAAAACGTATGTATCATGTTTTTCTTTAACCATTCCATGTGGAACACATCAGTTCCAAAGTTGTCTTGTTGGGGAACGGGCTGCTACATATCTTCACTCTGAGAAGGCGCATATCCCATCTACTTGCAGTCCATTGGCCTGGACTAGTCACATGGCCTGACCCAGGTCCCAAGGAGACTGGACACCAGGTGAAGCCCGCAGATACTCAGTGAGCATGGCTGCCTCTGCTGTCCTGGGCTTCAGTGTTCCAGGAGGGAAATTCTAACACTGTGCCATTGTGTGCAACAGTGAAAAGTAGTAAAAAGTGTTCTGTTTGTGAACAATTCATTTTGAGAACAGAAGCAATCTGCAAAATTTTGCTTTGGTTTGTGGACTCCACTTCAGGAGGGAAACATGACTCCCCAGAATCACAGAACCAACTTCATGAACTGAGGCACCACTGTGATTCTATTAGCCTAGTTTCATGTGTTCATTGGCTTTTTTTTTTTTCTCCTTGTACCGGGCATCAAACTTGGGACCTTGTGCTTGCGAGGCAGGCACCTGAACCACTGAGCTAAATCCCTGGACCCTCACTGGCTTTTTAAAATTTTATCTTTAATGAAATAACTCCGTGTTAAAGTTTCCTGCCCATTTTTATCAGATGCTTTGTATTTTTATTATTGATTTTAGAAGTTATTACATGTTAGATACAAATTCGTTTTAGGTATATGTACTAAGAATATATTCTCCTAGTATTTGGTTTGATGTTTACCTTGTTAATAGTGTTAACATATAAATTTTATTTTTATATCCTTTTTTCATCATGTTAAATGTTTTTCTGGTCATTTTAAAGAAATCATCCAAGATTTATAAAGTTATTTTCCCACTTTTTAAATGAAAGTTCAATATAAAACTACAAAAGGTTCTATTTTTTTGTCTATGGTCCATGTTGGGTTAATTCTTTGTAACTTAATATATATCTATCTAGGTATCCTAACATCATTTGTCAAAAAAGACTACTTTCTCCAATAAATTACTTTTATCCTAACTGTGAAAAGTAAACTGGGTATGTGTGGATATTTTTGCATTCTATAGTATTGTTTATTCATCACTTTTTATCAGTACATTAATATCATTGGGTTTTGGTAACAGTTACTTGAAAATAAGTTTTGAAATCAGGGAGTATATGTTTCCCAATATTAATCTCTCCTTTCAAGATTAATTTGTCTTTTCTAGGCTACTTGTATTACTATGTTAGCATTAACTTTTCAATTCCTACTAAAAGTCCCATTGTAATTTTGCTTAGAATTTTATCGATATTTCATAGTTTAAAACTACAGAGATTCCAGCTGAGTAGGGTGGTGCAGGCCTGTAATCCTAGCACTCAGGAGACTGAGACAGGAAGATCTCTACAAGTTTGAGGCCAGCCTGGGCTACATAGTCAGCTCAAGGTCAGCCTGAACTACAAAAAGCAAGACTGGGTCAAAGAAGAGAGAGAGAGGGAGGGAAAGAGGGAGAGAAGAGAGAGAGAGAGGGAGAGAGGGAGAAAGAGAGAGGATATCTGTAAAAAGCTATACCAACTTCTTACTTCAAAAATCCTTCATATTTATACAGAACTGTATCTTTAAAAAAACAAATACTGTTCTATAACCCTTCATTGGAATATTTAATGTGATAAACTGTATAATCAGCAAATAACATGGTAGTTAACCCCATGCCCCTTGAGTTAAGTGATTTTGAAAAGGAAAATAATAACTTAATTTTTCTACTCAGCAATGGTACTACAGCCAATGTAGGATAGTGATCAGTCACTGATTTGCATTAAGTGCAAATACTGCTAATAATTACATGAAATATGAGTACCTGGCTCAAAACACTATATATGTCAGGTTTATAGTTATTACACACAAAAGAACCTCAGATAACTTAATAAACAATTTTTTTCTAATTTATATTCGGTCACTTTTGTCCATTTTCACAATAAGCCAACTGGAGTTTCTTAATCCAGGGATTTGATACATCAATTTTAATATTTAATTAAGTACAGAAAATAATATTAGTAGTAGAGGAAAATATTCACATAAGCTTTTTACCTGATTATATTTTGTTGGGTTACTAAACTAGGAAAACTAATCCTCCTGATAATATAATGAAATAAGAAAAGAATACTTTTAAATACAAAGAAGCTGCTTTCAAAATAACGTTAAGAAACACGAAATATAGCTATAATAATATTTGATAAATAACTTCTCACAATTAGGCTGTAAAAATACTAAATGCAAAGAAATCATACTAGTATTTATAATGTATGATTCTTATGACAAAATCATTTTTCCAGAAAGAATTAAGAAGAGAGCTTTTTAAAACTGACCTTATTTTACATTTCACTTCACAACATTAAAAATAAATATAACATGTTGGAGGAGTTGAGAGAATTTTATCTGCTTATTGGGAGCTAGAACCCAATGAATAAACTGTATTAACACCTGAAAAACTTATGAAATACAAGTAATACCAAAATAATGGCTAAAGAATTTGCTGCAATTATATTTTAGAGAAACCAAATCAACTACATTACAATAATTTCTACATTCTAATTTTGTTTTAAAACTTAATGACCTTAGAAGTTGGGCAAATATTAAATTTTTAAAATACAACATGATTTTAGCAGTAATTTCTAGTTTTTTAGTATACTAGAGCAGGCCTTCAACTAAATTTCAGCAATTTGAAAATGTGTAGTTCTGATTCATTCACTATCTAAT